TCTTCAACCTCTCAAACCCTAATCTGAAGTTTGAGTTTCTCTTCACTCAGCAAACATGGGGTACGGTTTCATTTTTTTCTCCTATAATCATTTTTATGTGTTATAGTTATACTACAAGTTGCATTATTTAAAAAAACTTTACTATATCTGTATTTTAAGTCCAGATTTTTCATTCCCTGTTTATCGGATTCCTGATGGTTTTTCCTCCTTCTGCATATCTTAGCATTTGTAAACTATTGGTTGTCTGTTTGAAAAGCTTATATTATGAATTGTATGGGATAAGTTATATGAGTAAACTAGCTGATGCGAATTATAGCTTTTCGATGTCTCCAATATGCAATAATTGTTTAATAAATTGCTGAACTTGAGAAATTTGTTGCTTGAGCCGAGTGTCTTCTGGAAACAGCCTCTGTACCTCCACGATAGTTGAAATTGAGAAATTAGAAGTATCTCATTATTAGAAGAATGTAATTGTGTACTTAACAAAAAAAAGAAGAATATCATTGTGATTTGTAATGGTGGAAATTGAGATTATAGGAACAGTATATATATCTGTTTGCACGAATTGATGGTTCTTGAAGTTAGCAGATGCAAGTGTTATTTATGTTGTTGTTTAAAGCACTGTTGTATAAGGAGAAGGCATGGTATGTTCAGAAATTCTGGAATGTAGGATAGGTACATTTTGACGTGATCTGAATTAACTGGAAGAAATTTGATGTGCTTCTTCCTAGATTATAGTGACGAATTCTATAATGCCAAGACAATTAGCATTTGGGGGTTGATAGGGAAGATCATTGTTTGTGTAGATGGATATTTTGTCCCTTTTTGTGGTGGAATGGAAATTCGTTACTTTTTCATTGCCCAAATTGACTAATAGTAGAGATGTTCCAATAGTACTTGAGAATATATTAGTTGAAGTGAGAGAGCATAAATGAAGGATGGTTCTGTTTGTGATGTTGTCACTCAACGGGGTAAAAATTTCAGGAAGACACGTGGTATGGGAGCTGGACGCAAGCTGAAGTCCCACCGTAGAAGACAGAGGTGGGCTGACAAGTCCTACAAGAAGTCCCATCTTGGAAATGAATGGAAGAAGCCATTTGCTGGGTCATCCCATGCTAAAGGCATTGTGCTTGAGAAGATGTAAGTTATCTTATACTCCAAGTTTTATGGCTGCTGATCTTCTTTAGCCTTACTGTTTTTTGGTCTTTGCTTCTAACCAATCAAAATTATTTGAAATGATTTTTGCAGAGGTATTGAGGCTAAGCAGCCCAATTCTGCTATTCGTAAATGTGCTAGGGTTCAGTTGATCAAAAATGGGAAGAAGATTGCTGCATTCGTTCCTAACGATGGTTGTTTGAACTACATTGAAGAAAACGTGAGTCCTTTGCTTCCATATATCTAGCCACACAAAACAAGATTTTGATGTTATTTTTTTCAAGTTCCCGACATTGATTCTTGTTGTTGCAGGATGAGGTGTTGATTGCTGGATTTGGTCGAAAGGGTCATGCCGTAGGAGATATTCCTGGTGTCAGGTTCAAAGTTGTGAAGGTCTCTGGCGTTTCTCTCTTGGCTCTCTTTAAGGAGAAGAAGGAGAAACCAAGATCTTAATTTTGCCATTTTGCCAAGATACTGTTGCCATGGACTTCTAGTTTTCTTGAGTATGTACTTTTTGAGCAACTATCTTTAATATTAGGCACATTGCACTGGAATTTTGGTTCATTTCTGTTGAGTTCCTGGTGTTACCTAACACCATCTTACTTCTCACCCCACCCCACCCACAACATAAAGGAAAGAGAAAAAAAACAGAAATTGCATGTATTTTAGGTTGTAAAATGCTTGTGCTTTGAGAAAATGGGCATTTGCTGTATTGGATGGGGAAGAACTTTCCTGTTAGTGTTCTTCAGAATGATGGAAGTTATATGATTGAAGGATGGCACATGAAGATTTGTATCACGTCATAATCCTTTTTTACATAATATCACATGACATGTCTTGTGTTTCATTTGCTTTACGCAAACACCATTGGTGACAATACCAAGCTGTCACATTAATAAAACTTGGGACTAAAAAAGTTTATAGAGTAATTGAACTTCCAAACATCCCCTTTCCCTTGATGTAGTCACGTACTAATAACTATTAGTTCAGTGGATGTAACTTTACCCCCTCGAAGGTAGGGGTATTACGACACTGTTTATGTTGTTGGATGTAACTTCACCTTTTTCATTATATTTTATCTCCAGTCAAAAGATTTCAAAAGTGAGATAATCCACTCAAAAGGGTTACAAATAATCAACATTTTAATCAAAAGTAACACTAGAAGAAATGATGGATCATAGAAGTAAGCAAATCATGTTTCTACATGAACTAAATCCTATAGAGACATACAAAATTTATAGAGGGGTGGGGAATGAGTGAGTTGGCATGCATACCCCCCCCCCCCACCCCTCTCTCCAATTAACCAATCAATGTCAATATCTTTTATTACCATGCACAAAATGTGTTCGTAATGTACAACATATTGGAAGGACAAAAGAGATGTGATGACAAGATTTATGGAATCTTTTACACAAACGAAGAGATTGGGTTGTCCTGGTGAATTGACTAATCGAAAGACTTTTTTGGGATTTTTTGAGACATTGAAAGAGAAATACATGATATTGTTCATTTTGTAATTTTTTTTGAAAATATAACTGTTATGTGAGTGGAGAAAGATATTTTTGAGAAATAATTCCAAAGTACTTTTTTTTTTAAAAAAAAAAAATACCTATTGAAATGTTATATCACCACAATAATAATTTTGACAGTGTTTGCTAAGATTAGAGCCATTAGAAGTTGGGACAGAATAGCCCTATAAAAAGAGCTCAAACTACAAAAACAAAAATCTTTTCTACAACTTCATTTAGCTAAGAATCATCAAAAGAATGCAAATATTTCGAAACGACATCCACATATTCTTATAAATGAGTTTTGTGCCTGAAACCAATCCATCAAATTGTCTTGCTTGCCCGGGGACCAACACCCAAGTAATTTGTTATGATACCAAACATCATGGCCAATGAGATATGCTTAAGATCTTTCCATATTCCTTATGTTAGCAAGGGATAGCACACTGAATATAATAACAATCCATGAGCAAATCTTGTATCTGCTAACATGGTACCAAAGACGCCGAAGATGACGGCTATGAAGGCGTAGTAATCTATAGGAAGATCTTGTGGATCGATCAACAAAAGCTTGTACGGTTTCGCCACCATATTTGAGTAAAAAGATTCAATGAGATTTGCAAATTCAATTGCTCTTTGGGTGACTTAAATAAGGGACCTTAGTTCAGGGAAGATGAAAAGAATCAAATTATTAAAGATTTTTTAGCCAAAAATTAAAAAGACCCATCAATTCCCAAACTTAATTGTTTGACCTTTGATCTTCATCAAACAAAAGATGAAGAGGGAATTGAAGATCGTGCCAGCAAACAAGGAAGAGTCTATTGACTTCAATCATAATTATGAGTATTTTTAATGCAATATTATTAATGTAGAACAGATAATTGCTTCTTTAATTTATATATATATAAAATTATATAAAAAGGGTAAAACGGTAATTCAACTTTTGACTGGATTTGGTCGAAAGGGTCATGCCATAGGAGATATTCCTGGTGTCAGGTTCAAAGTTGTGAAGGTTTCTGGTGTTTCTCTCTTGGCTCTCTTTAAGGAGAAGCCAAGATCTTAATTTGCCAAGATACTGTTGCCATGGACTTTTAGTTTTCTTGAGTATGTACTTTTTGAACAACTATCTTTAATGTAGGCACATTTCACTGGAATTTTGGTTCATTTTTGTTGAGTTCCTGGTGTTACCTAACATCATCTTGCTTCCCCCTCACCCTGCCCTACCCGCAAAATAAATGAAAAATCTGCATATACACTATGCCTATTAGTTTAGTGGATGTAACTTTATCCTTGGAAGATAATGGTAAGATCTGTGTATACATTATCTTCTTTAGACTCGTGCGATATTACACCGATTATGTTGTTGCATGTATCTTCACCTTTTTCATTGATATTTCATCTCCAGTCAAAGATTTCAAAAGTGAGAGAATCCACTGAAGGGTTAAAATAATCAACATTTTAATCAAAAGTAACACTAGAAGAAGTGATAAGAAAATAAACAAATCATGATTTTACATGAACTAAATCCTTTAGACACATACAAAATTTACAGGGGTGGGGAATGAATGAGTTGGCATGCATAATAAATTAGAAAAGTATGGCCCCCCTTCCAATTAACCAATCAATTTTTATCACCATATACAAAATGTGTTTTAAATGTATCACATTTGAAGGACAAAAGAGATGTGATGACAAGATTGATGGCATCTTTTACACAAAAGAAGAGATTAGGCTGTCCTGGTGAATTGACAAATCGAAGGACTTTTTTGGGATTTTGTGAGACATTGACAGAGAAACGTTCATTTTGTAATTTTTTTGAAAATATAACTGTATGTGAGTGGAAAAAAATATTTTTGAGAAATAATTCCAAGTACTTTTTTTAAAGAGACATACCTATTTAAATTCCATACTGGGTTCTAGAGAAGGTAAAATGTACATAGAGAAGTTGTTTTAGAAAAACTTTCGGCTCAAATTCAGCAAATCCACAACTTGTTTAAAATTTTCAAGTTTATGTTTGTTTATTGTCACAAAATCATGACAATGAAATATAATATTGGTCTCTTATATAACCTCTATTATTTGAATTACTGTTTTGATAAACATATATTATAGCCTCAATCATCACTTCTAATATAAATTGGTGAATGTACAAGAATCCTGTTTGAATAGTACATGTCCACTTCAATTTCCATTAACAAAAGTGGCCACAGGTCCACTGACTGAAACTAATAACATTATTAAAGTGACCCTCCAATGAAAATCTGAAGCTAATCCAGAATGACTGTTTCTTAGAGTGTGTATAAGAAGGAGGCTCTGTCATTGTAGGAAAACACAAATAAAGAGGTCTAACTATGGAGACAATAGTTCCTTTTCTTCTCTTTTCTTGCTTTCTTTCTTTGTTTTTAGGAATCTCAGCTGAGAGATCTACCTACATTGTCCATTTGGATAAGTCTTTTATGCCTAAAATCTTTGCTACTCACCAAAATTGGCATTCTTCCATTATTGATACCATCAAGATTGAAGCTCCCACTACACAAAATAGCCACCATCCAGTTCCAAAGCTTCTTTATTCTTATGACAATGTGCTTCATGGATTCAGTGCTGTTTTGTCTAAAGATGAATTTGAAGCACTCAAGAAGTCTCCAGGCTTTCTTTCAGCTTATAAAGATAGGCCTGTTGAAGCTCACACTACACATTCCCCTGAGTTTCTTAAGCTTAATCCTGCTTCTGGGCTATGGCCGGCGTCTGGTTTTGGTGAAGATGTGATTATCGGAGTACTCGACACTGGTGTCTGGCCAGAATCTGCTAGTTTCAGAGATGATGGACTATCTGCAATACCAAAAAAGTGGAAGGGAATTTGTAAGCCAGGAACAGATTTCAATTCTTCTTTATGCAACAGGAAACTCATTGGGGCGAATTATTTCAATAAGGGGCTTTTGGCTAGCGATCCTACTATTGTTCTTTCCATGAATTCTGCAAGGGACATGAGAGGCCATGGCACTCATGTTGCTTCCATTGCTGCTGGTAGTCCTGTTAAAGGAGTTTCATATTTTGGATATGCTCCTGGAACAGCAAGAGGTATTGCGCCACGAGCTAGGATTGCTGTGTATAAGTTTAGCTTTGAAGAAGGGACCGTCATGTCTGATTTAATTGCTGCTATGGACCAAGCTGTTGCAGATGGCGTTGACATACTATCAATTTCTTATGGGTATGGTTTTGATCCATTGTATGAAGATTCTATTGCAATAGCTTCTTTTGGTGCCATGATGAAGGGTGTGTTAGTCTCTGCTTCAGCTGGGAATAATGGTCCTGAAATGGGAACTTTATCCAATGGAGTCCCCTGGATCTTTACTGTGGCATCAGGCAGTACTGACCGATCATTTTCCGGGACTATAACTTTAGGGAATGGCTTAAAGATTACTGGATTTAGCTTGTTTCCAGTGAGAACCAACATCAAGGATTTTGATTTGGTTTACAATGGAAGCTTAGCCACTTGTGATTCATCTGATGATTTAGCCCAAGTCCCTAATAAAGCACGTAGCATCACGATGTGTTATAGCACTGCACAAGAAGACTTATCAGTCTCTGATCAAATGGGGGCTATCTCAGAGGCAAAATTTGGAGGCGCACTCTATGTTTATGGAGATCCGGATGTATTGACATCCAATTATTTTACGAATCCTGGAGCTGTAATTAGCAGCAAGGATTGGAAAAAGGTGGTAGACTATGCAAAAACAACTGCTAAACCAAAAGTCAGCATCAGTTTACAGGAAACACATTTTGCTGTTAAGCCTGCTCCAGTTGTTTCTGCATTTTCCTCGAGAGGCCCCTCCCTAAGCTATCTACGAGTTGCAAAGCCAGATATTATGGCACCAGGGGAGTTGATTTTAGCAGCCTGGCCATCGAACACTTCAGCGGCAGTTATTGGTGTCAATACATTTTTGGATAGTGATTACAGTCTTCTTTCAGGCACTTCGATGGCTGCTCCTCACATTTCCGGAATTGCTGCAATGCTAAAAGGAGTACATCCTGATTGGAGTCCTTCAGCTATTCGATCTGCCATGATGACCACTGCAAATCCTTTGGATAATACTGACAAACCCATCAAGACCATGGATTACCTCAGAACCAGTTATGCTACATCTTTATCCATGGGAGCCGGACTTGTTGATCCAAACCGTGCAGTTGATCCAGGCCTGATATATGATGCAACTCCACAAGACTACGTGAATCTTCTCTGCTCCATGAATTTCACAGCAAAGCAGTTCAAGACAATTGCTAGATCATCAGCTAAGCACAACTGTGCAAATCCATCCGATGATATCAATTACCCATCATTTATTGCTCTCTATATCCCAAATGGAGACTACGCTTGGTTGGAGCAGAAATTCAAGAGGACAGTCACAAATGTTGGACCTGGTGCAGCTAAGTACAAAGTAAAAGTGAAAGCACCAATAAACTCGACAATTTCTATCTCTCCACAGACCTTGGTGTTTGAGAAAAAACATCAGAAGCAGGACTACACTCTCACCATACGTTACAGAGGCATTGAATTTGACCAAGCACAATCTGGTTCAATCACTTGGGTGGAAATGAACGGTCATCACACCGTAAGAAGTCCTATAGTAGTAGCTCCAGCTCTTGATGCCCCAAATGAAAATGATTGATGCCCCAAACTGAAATGCTGCAGTTGATAATACTGTTGCATTTGTAAGTTTGTAACTCTCCTCAAGAGGGTTCTGTTAAAGTAGCTGGAAAGTATTCTGGCAAAGCATGTGTGTTTGAAGTAATTGTTGAATAATGTTTTATTTTCTTGTGTTATCAATAAACCAAGACTTTGTTGAATAATGTTTTATTTTCTTGTGTTATCAATAAACCAAGACTTTGTTGAATAATGTTTTATTTTCTTGTGTTATCAATAAACCAAGACTTTGTTGAATAGATGTCTGATTGGCGATAGGGGTCATTAATCAGTAGCAACATTCACACAATAGGACTGAAATACTTAGATGCTATGTGGAAGCTAACATTTAACAATACAATTTTGTACGAAAAATAAATGAAAAAACAAAAAGAATATATCAAACGAGACAATAATTTAACGTGGTTTGATCAAGTATGAGAAATTCACTAATATAAAAAAGAGTACAAAAATAGTACATATACTCCACTAGAACTGAGTATATAGATATACAGAAAAAGAGAGTCTCTGTGTGTAAATAGGAGGGAGAAGGGATGCATACAATTAGAAAGTATGTACCTCCCAATCAATTACAATAAGGTAGGGTCATTTTTAAATATGCGACATACTAATCATCAATCACAATATGGTAGGGTCATTTTTTGATATGTGACATATGAATCAATCACAATATGGTAGGGTCATTTAAAGAAAAATATAACTTTTTACTTGCAAAAGATTCTCAATTTACTCACAATATAATATAACTAAAAAAAGGGAGATATATATATATATAAAAGAAAAGCTTATAAGCATTTATGTGAAAAATTTATCTAGTGCGTGCATTAAAGCAACAAGAATATAGGGATTGCCAAGAATATAATATTTGTCTTTTATATACTGTTTGTTACTTAATAATTAGTATTAATTGATATATATTCCAATCTTAATTGAACAGTAAGAAATATGGTTTAACATTCTTCCTGTGTAGTGTGAATACAGTAAGCACACAACTTAGACTAGCAAAGTCTCCACAGGTCCACTGACCAACAAGTCTTAGAAAATGACAGCTTACCAAATGATCAAATTGCATTGTCTACTTCACAAAATCAGCCAACTATGACTGTTTCTTAAGGTGTATATTAAAAGGGGGCTGTGTTATAGAAGGAAAACACAAAGTGTAGAGGAAAAAAATATGTTAGGAGTACCTTTTCTTTTGTTTTCTTGGTGTCTTTTGGTCCTTCTTTGTTATTAGGAACCTCAGCAGAGAGGTCTACTTACATTGTCCATTTGGACAAGTCTTTTATGCCTAAAATTTTTGCTACTCACCAAAACTGGCATTCTTCCATTATTGATACCATCAAGATTGAATCTCCCACTACACAAAATGGCCACCATCCAGTTCCAAAACTTCTTTATTCTTATGACAATGTCATCCATGGATTCAGTGCTGTTTTGTCTAAAGATGAGCTTGAATCGCTTGAGAAATCGGCAGGTTTCCTTTCAGCTTATAAAGATAGGAGTGTTGAAGCTCACACAACTCATACCTCAGAGTTTCTTAAGCTCAATCCTGCTTCTGGGCTATGGCCGGCTTCTGGTTTTGGTCAAGATGTTATCATCGGTGTACTCGACTCTGGTGTCTGGCCAGAATCTGCTAGTTTCAGTGATGATGGATTACCTGAAATTCCAAAAAGGTGGAAGGGAATTTGCAAGGCAGGAACAGATTTTAATTCTTCATTGTGTAACAGGAAAATCATTGGGGCTAATTATTTCAACAAAGGGATTTTGGCTGATAATCCTACTGTGAATATTTCAATGAATTCTGCAAGGGATACTAGAGGTCATGGCACACATGTTGCCTCCATTGCTGCTGGTAATTTTGCTAAAGGCGCTTCGTATTTTGGATATGCTACTGGAACAGCAAGAGGTATGGCGCCACGAGCTAGGATAGCTGTGTATAAATTTAGCTTTGAGGAAGGAACCTTCACTTCTGATTTAATTGCTGCAATGGATCAAGCTGTTGCAGATGGTGTTGACATACTAACTATTTCTTATGGGTGGGTTAGGATTCCAGTGTATCAAGATTCAATTGCGATAGCTTCTTTTGGTGCCATGATGAAAGGTGTCTTAATCTCTGCTTCAGCTGGAAATAGTGGCCCTGAAATGGGAACTATAAATAATGGTGTCCCTTGGATCTTTACTGTGGCGTCATGCAGTACTGATCGAGCATTCTATGGGACTTTAACTCTTGGGAATGGCGTAAATATTACTGGATTTAGCTTGTTTCCAGTGAAAACCATCATCAAGAATTTTCCAGTGCTTTACAACGAAAGTATATCACCTTGTGATTCATCTGATGTATTAGCCAAAGTCCCTAATGGTGGACGTAGCATTATGATTTGTTTTAGTAATGCAGTAGAAGTAGAGGACCAAATGGCGGCTATCTCAGAGTCAAAATTTGGAGGAGCCATCTATATTTCAGATGATCCAGATGTATTGTCATCCAATTTTTTTCCAAATCCTGGAGTTGTGATTAGCACCAAGGAAGGGAAACAAGTGATAGACTATGCAACCAAAAGTGCTAAACCAAAAGTCAGCCTCAGTTTCCAGGGAACACGTATTGATGTAAAGCCTGCTCCGGCTGTTTCTGCATTTTCCTCGAGAGGCCCCTCTCTAAGCTATCTGCAAGTAGCAAAGCCAGATATTATGGCACCAGGAGAGTTAATTCTAGCAGCCTGGCCATCAAACAATTCAGCTACAGTTATTGGTGTCAATACATTTTTGGGTAGTGATTACCGTCTTGTATCAGGTACTTCCATGGCTGCTCCTCACATTGCTGGAATCGCTGCAATGCTTAAAGGAGCACATCCTGATTGGAGTCCTTCAGCTATTCGATCTGCCATGATGACCACTGCCAACCATTTGGATAATACTAAAAACCCCATCAAAACCGAGGATGGTAACAGCGATACTACATCATTAGCTATGGGAGCCGGACTTGTTGATCCAAACCGTGCAGTTGATCCAGGCCTGATATATGATGCCACTCCACAAGACTATGTGAATCTTCTCTGCTCCATGAATTTTACACTAGAGCAATTCAATACAATTGCTAGATCATCAGCTAAACACAACTGTTCAAATCCATCTGATGATATCAATTACCCGTCATTTATTGCTCTCTTTAGCCCAATTGGGAACTACACTTGGTTGGAGAAGAAATTCAGGCGGACAGTCACAAATGTTGGAGCCGGTGCAGCTAAGTATGTAGCAAAAGTGATAGCACCAAAAAGCTCGACAATTTCCATCTCTCCACAAACCTTAGTGTTTGAGAAGAAAAATCTGAAGCAGGACTACACTCTTACCATACGTTACAAAGGCATTGCAGATGACCAAGCACAATCTGGTTCAATCACTTGGGTTGAAGAGAACGGTCATCACACCGTAAGAAGTCCTATAGTAGTAGCTCCAGCGCTTGATGCCTGGACCTGAAATGTTGCAGTTGGCAAAACTGTTGCATTTCTAAGTTTGTAACTCTCCAAGAGAGTACTGTTGAAATTGGAACTGTTGCATTTGAGTTATCAATAAAGCATGACTTTATTTCTGTCTTAACATTTTTTTGCTACATGAACTAAAATAAGCAGATGCTGAATTCAACTCATTAGATATCTGTTGGCGATATCACGATAAAGTAGTATATCCACTTAATGAACTCACGGCAGAATCTATGACTGCATAAAAGATGTTGTGCTGATACAACTGAAAATTCTAATCCTCTTGTTGTAAAGAGCGAGGAAACTAGAAAATTTAAAGTGCCTAAGATGCTTTAGTTTCTGTGTATTCCCAGACATTTCAAAAGAACTATGACAAGCAGAGCTACACGAAAACAGAAAACCGATTAGCTTCATTTAATCATATGGATTGAAGAGGGGAAAACTTACTTTACCACAGAACAGAATTTTCACTTCAATAGTCATCAAGATAGAGATCATTAATCTGTTGTAACATTCATACAGTTGGCTTTTCATGATTATACGATCTCAACAAAATTCTATACAGCATAGTATGCAGAGACTTGATGCATAATTTTGCCTTGAAACGACCAAGTGTTTCTCGTAGATCAAATACAACTCAAGGAGGTCTACATCATCCTACATTCGAGAAATACGTTAAAAGCCCTCGAATCATGGAGAAGTGTAGGAATTGCAAGAAACAGTAAAGAGATAGCTTTTGGAAATTTTGTGTGTATTCATCTCTTCTAAATACATGTATATATACAACTATGTGGAAATCAAAAGAACGTTCTATTCCTAACTGACTGTACAGGTGTCCTACTACTATTTGCTAATTCAATAACAAACTTTATTCTCTAACAATGTCTAGGAAAAGAAAAAGGATAAAATAGACAATCTAGCTGAAATTACTTCTAGGTATCCATTATGTACAAAGGCTAGAAATTTTATCAAGTTGGCTATATTCAAATTTGTATTTCGAGGCCCAGTCTGAGGAAGCCCAAATGTCTTGCCACCACTCGTGTGCTTTGAGACATTTCGACAAATCCTAGGGTTCTTCTTCTTTACTTGTTTGTCCTCATTCTCTTTGCTGCATTTCTCCATTGAAGCTAAAGAAGAAATCGGAACTGAAATCTCAACATCCCCTCTCAAGTTGGAGGGGAACAAAGTGAGCCCCAACTTGCGCATGTTGTTATGATGTGATGGTCCGGTGAGTGGCTTGGTGAAAATGTCGGCTAACTGATCCTTGTACGGAACAAAGGACAGGGAAATCAATTCGGCGAGATATTGCTGGCGGACGAAATGACAGTCCAGCTTAACGTGTTTTGTCCGTTCATGAAACACAGGGTTGCGAGCTATATGTATAGCGGCTTGACTATCTGAGTGAATGGGCACCAGCAGGGGAGGAGGAATCGACAGGTCGGTGAGTAATCTGGTAAGCCAAGTTAGTTCAGCAACTAACCTTCTCATTGAACGGTATTCCGCCTCTGCGGAAGAGAGTGAAACTGAACTTTGTTTCTTTGATTTCCAGGAGATTGGAGATCCTCCCAAACTGATAAAGAAGCCACTTACTGATCGGCGAGAATCACGACAAAGACGCCCAATCAGCATCGCAAAAAGTGGCCAATGACAAAGAAGGCGATGCACTAAAGAAGAGACCATGGCTTGGGAAATGCTTCACGTAACGAATCACTCTTAGACCAGCATTATAATGATTATTATTAGGCATGTGCATAAACTGACTGAGTGTTAATACATCAAACGATAGATCTGGTCTAGTGTGAGTCAAATAGTTAATCTTTCCAATAAGACGTCTGTAAATGGTGGGATCTGACAAAGGTGTTCCTGAATCTGCAGATAGCTTAACTGAAGGATCCATTGGAGAAGAAACTGAAGATATATGGGAAACATCAAATTCATCAAGTAACTCCAAGGTATATTTCCTCTGACTGATAATCATGCCATGTTCTTCTCTTAATACTTCCATACCCAAAAAATAATGTAGGAGACCTAGGTCTTTGATTTTGAATTTTGTATGCAAAAACTCCTTTAAAGTTTGGATCTCATCAGTAGCATTGCCTGTTATTAAAATATCATCAGCATAAACAGTAACAATTGAAATGAATTCACCTGTCTGCTTAAAGAACAGTGAATAGTCATTGAGTGAAGCTACATATCCTTTAAAACTTAATGCCCCTGCTAATCTAGCATACCACTGCCTTAAGGCTTGCTTTAGCCCATAAAGAGATTTTCTCAATTTACACACCATGTTAGGTTGAGGGGGATCCACACCATTAGGAAACTTGATGTAGACTTCTTCTTGCAATTCTCCTTGCAAGAAAGCATTGTTGACATCAAACTGAAAAATATCCCACCATTTCTTAGTGGCAATTGCTAATAAGCATTTGATTGTGGTCATTTTTACCACTGGTGAAAATGTCTCATTATAATCAATCCCCTCTTTCTGTATGTCCCTTCTCACAACAAGTCTGGCCTTCAATCTTTCAATTGTCCCATCAGCATGTTGCTTAACCTTGTAAACCCATTTGCAGGGTAAAGCTTTCCTTCCTTTAGGTAGAGTCACAACATCCCAAGTATGATTAGATTGGAGGGCATCAATTTCATCTTGCATTGCTTGTTGCCAACCTGCATGTGTAAAAGCCTCATAAAAGCTTCTAGGCTCTGATATAATGGAGGTAGACCTTAGGACTAGTTGACTAGGTTTAGAAAGGTTAGCATAAGAAAAACTAGAATGATTGATGGGAACAACAAGACAAGATTTTGTAACATCACTAAGATAAATGGTGTTGCAAATATAATCCTTAAGATGTAAAGGCAGGGTCCCAATATTTGTTCTGTGAGATCTCCTAACAGGAACTGATGATGGTGATGCAACATGTTCAGAAAGAACAGTTAGTTGTACTGGATGGATTTCTAAACTTGGGGAATTGATAGGAACATTTGATGATGGAAAAGAATTTGGACCTGTAGGGATGTTGGAATCCTCAGAATCTGAAGGATCATGTGGGGGAGTAGAAGAATAATCAATGGGATCATGAGTGATGAAGATAGAATTATCAGGAGATGACTGTGAGAAAGGAAAATGTTTTTCAACAAAGTGAACATCTCTAGAAACACTGACCTTCTTAGTTTTCAAATCAAGTAACTTCTACCATTTCTGGTTACTTGGGTATCTTAGAAAAACACATTTATGAGCTCTTGGCTCAAACTTGTTCCTTCCCTGAGCTGATGTACTAGCATAGCATAGACATCCAAAACATCTGAGAATCTGATAAGAGGGTGGTGTACCAAACAAAACTCCATAAGGAGTTTTTCCATGAATAACTCTTGATGGCAATCTATTGATCAAGAAAGTAGCTGTTAGGATACATTCACCCCAATAGATTAGTGGGACCTTAGACTAAAGCAATAGAGCTCTTGCAATCTCTAGCAGTTGTCTGTGTTTTCTTTCAGCTACCCCATTTTGTTGTGAGGTGGCCACACAGGAAGTCTGATGGACAATTCTTTGTGATCTCAGAAATTCTGAGGCTGCTTCACTTTTCCCTAATTCTATGGCATTGTCAGATCTAATTATTTTCACCTTAGTATTGAATTGTCTCTCAACCATAGACAAAAAACTCTGAATCACAGAAAAAGAATTGCATTTGGTGCTCATTAGATATGTCCATGTAGCTCTACTGAAGTAATCCACTATTGTCAAAAAATACCTATAAGTTATAGGTGGACACCTTGTATAGTCCCAAGTGTCAATGTGAATTAGATCAAAACAGTTCTTCGTGGTGATCTCACTAGTAGAAAAGGGTAATCTAGACTGTCTAACTTTAGGACACACATCACAATAACAATCAGAAGACTGAGGTATAGACAAGAAACTGACATTTTTCATTGATGCATAGGGCAAATGCCCTAATCTTACATTGGAAGAAACATTTGAACAAACAGGAAAGGAAACTGAAACTGAATCAGGAAAACAAACAGAACTACTATTTTACTACATTTTTGAGACACCAGAAAAGTATTTTGACTTGCACTAGGCTTCTTAGGAAAGGGTTGCAACAAGTAGAGACCTTCTTTTGTTTCACCAAAAACTTGAGGCCTCTTCATTGAATGGCCCTGTAACATACAGTTGTTAGAATTGAAAGAACTATATTTCTGAACTGACTGCAAAATTTATGAACTGATAATAAGTTGTATTTGAAGCTTGGCACATACAAGACATTGTGTATTGTCAAGTCAGAGGAAATCTGTACACTACCTATATGAGTGACACTTATAGAATGAGAGTTAGAAAGATTTATATTGATTGGAATTTTAAGAGTAGATAAAGAAATAAATGAGTCAGAATTGAAACACATATGCTCTGATGCCCCTGAATCTATGATCCAAGTTCTAGAATTAAAAACAAAAAAACAAGTCCCAAAGTACTTTAAAATAGTACCAGCCACTGCATTAACATTAATTTCAGGTGCTGCATTTTTTGTTGTTGATTCTGGGATCTTCATCTGTTTCATCACTTGAATGAAATGGCCAAATTGTTCCTTGCTCATGTGCTGATTGATTTGATCCATATAGTAGTTAGGATCTTCCTCCTCCATAGAGACAGTTGCATTCCCTCTAACTGGTGCTGAATAGTTTTTGTTATTTGTGAAGTTGAAATCCTCAGGGAACCCAATCAATCTGTAACAATCATCTATGACATGACCTGTTTTACCACAATGAGTGCAAGAAACATTAGGATTATATTTCTTCTTTCCTTTGAACCTTTGATTCTGCCTTGGGTATCTAGGTGCTTGCTGGTAGTTATTCATTCTAGGATAGCCCATGTTTGGCTTGGATCCAGATCCTGATTTACCTGGGCTTAACTTCTGAAACTGCTTATCATTTTTGTTTTGATTCATATTGTTAACCATGAAAGATGAAGAGTCATTAGGCATAATAGGGCTCATGTATGTCTCCTTTTGGTTCTCATCATGTAAGATCAAAGAATAGGCAATATTAATGTTAGGAAGAGGATTCATCACAAGAATGTTGCCCCTAGCTTGAGCATATGTATCATTGAGTCCCATGAGAAACTGTATGAGCATTTCATCTTCCACAAATTTTTCCAATTTCTATTTTCCTTCACAGATGCACAGGCAAGTGCACTTATCCTGTGAATCAAGTGAAGCCAACTCATCCCAGAGTCTCTTGAGTTTAGTAAAGTATCCTGCAATGTTGCTAGTTCCTTGCACTAGCCTATTAAGTTCCTTTTTCAAATGAAAAAGTTTAGCACCATTTGATTGACCAAATCTATGCTCCAAACTCAACCAGAGTTCCTTTGAAAGGGAATTAAGGCACACATTGCAGTTCTAGAGTATATAACACTATTTGCTATTTCTTTTGAAAGGGAATTAAGGAGCCAAGATGTTACCATGTCATTGCACCTACTCCAAGGTTGCACATCATGTTGGATCTGGTGAAGGATCTGTTCCAGTGATGAAACCCAACTTGTTCTTTGCAGAAAGTGCTATGAGGATTGATCTCTTCCATCCCGGATAGCCCCTTCCATAAAAAATGCTGCTCACCAGTCCCATTCCAGGAGAGTCTGAAGAATGAAGATAAAAGGCATGATTGACATCAATCTTTGTTCCTGAGGATGATCCAGCCACCAAAGCTTCAGGTGTTGATTCAGGATTTGTGACAGATTCGTTAGTCATGATTGGATATGATTGATTATGTGATTACTGTTCTGATACCATGTAGGAATTGCAAGAAACAATAAAGAGATAGCTTTTGGAAATTTTCTGTGTATTCATCTCTTCTAAATACATGTATATATACAACTATGTGGAAATCAAAAGAACGTTCTATTCCTAACTGACTGTACAGGTGTCCTACTACTATTTGCTAATTCAATAACAAACTTTATTCTCTAACAATGTCTAGGAAAAGAAAAAGGATAAAATAGACAATCTAGCTGAAATTACTTCTAGGTATCCAATATGTACACAGGCTAGAAATTTTATCAAGTTGGGCCTATATTCAAATTTGTATTTCGAGGCCCAATCTGAGGAAGCCCAAATGTCTTGCCACCACTCGTGTGCTTTGAGACATTTCGACAAATCCTAGGATTCTTCTTCTTTACTTGTTTGTCCTCATTCTCTTTGCTGCATTTCTCCATTGAAGCTAAAGAAGAAATCGGAACTGAAATCTCAACAAGAAGTTTAGGAGATAAGAATCAAAAGAACAACAGAATTGTACTCACAAGATTTATCAATGAAAATCATTTATTTATTTTGGTTGCAAGTTAACTTTCAACGCCACGAAAACTTGTTGCGAACAAATTGCCAAATGATAATTTGCAGTACGTCAAATTATAAAGGAAAAGAAGATGATGATAATTTTTTTGGAAAAAATAGTTCTGAATCATCACTTTAAGTAATTTAAATAAATTGAGCTAAAGAGATTACAAATACTGATATTTGCATAATTTATCCGCACTGTATAAAACATTTCATCAACAACATTAATGAATATCCCATCTCCACCATGTTATACATGCTGCATGTATAAATACCTCTTGATGCAGAAAATTCATGATTATACGTCTCAAGAAAATTCGATAGAGCATATTATGCAGAGACTTCATGAATAATTTTGCCTTGTCAATAACAGATTTATTCATCGTATAAATAAAAGCTGAAAATTAAATAAAAACGATTGAAAAAATAAATTCAATAACTTCTCTTCTTCTTTTTTTGGCACAAAAGCATTGCATGAAATAAATAAATTATAATAATAGAAGAGCTAATAACTACAAAAATCATATGAAAATAATATATACATAAAGAGTGAAGGCCTAAAATTGGCAAAACCGTATACTTAATACAATATACGATTCGGAATTGTTATCACAGAGCCTGCTCTGTTCCGAAAAATATCTACTATGGGATTCTTTGATTCGGTTCTTCGGTATCTATGCCCACCCGTAGGTTTCTCCAGCTGAATACTGATACATTGAATTGTAGTGCAATTCAGCATAAAAGCTCAAATAAATCATCTTGTTCGATTTGTGATCACAATCACTTTGCGGAAGAATCTCAATGTAGTCGGTGTCCTTGACAAATATCTTAACCCCATATGAATCTGCAGCAGCCTGCAAAGTTATATTATCACCCCATTCACCACAATTGCTCATTCTCTTCAAGTATTCATCATACTCTTCCATTGCAGCAAACCCCTCATACAACTCTCCATAAAATTTGAGTTGTTTAACAACTTGTTCCCTTACTAATTTGTGATTCTCACAACTCCCATATATTTGATCTGAAATTGAGCGGAATTGACAATTTCCATCTCCTGAAACTTCTTGTTCAGTGAATTCGTATAATTCTAATCTCTCTCTCTGCCTTTGTTGATCTGATTTGGCTGAAATTATGTCATTGTTATTGTATGGCCTACACTTGGGAAAATCCATGTAATACTGAGAATCAACCTTGTTTATACGACAAATATCGAGATTCCAATTCACGATGTCTTCTGTATCAGGATGAGGATCTGTTCTTTGAATTGGAGAAAGAAAGAAGAAAATTAAAAATTGAGAGACAAATCATATGTGAAGTCAAGGTGTATTTATATTGAAGAAAATATGTAACTATAAACCTGGTTTGAATCGGAATCGAAATTGGAATAGGAAACGAAAAGGACTTAATTAGGCATAGTTTCCTAAAGTGTTTTGTTCTTACAAAATAAAATCCCCGCTTAAAATTTGAAGAAGAGTTTTATAATTCTAAACTAAAATTAACACAACCAAAACTAGAGAAAATAAATTAGGGAAATTAGACACCTGTAAGTTTGTCAACTTGATCAGAATCGAGTTGAAGAAACTAGAAACATGATATCACATATCTTTAGAGTACATCAAGTTACCAAGCAAGCATAAGTAGTTGGCTTTGTTCGTGAGAAGATTGAACTGAGATGAAATAAGTTCGATCTTTTGGGAAAATGATTTTTTTTTTGTGTTTAAATTTCTTTTGACATGTAATGATATGTCTATGTTCTTGACATAACAATGTTTGCCCACCTCTGCTGTATTAACTATAGTGGCCATGTCAGAATTTTCACTAAAAGAATTCAAAATATAAAAAAATAAATGCATGAAGAAGCCAAGGAAATTCAATTAATATCTAGAAGTGATACTTGAAGTTGTCCTGAATTTTCAAAAAGACACCTAAAGTTTGCGGGCATCCTATTACCCATGGACCTATTTCAAATCACAATAAATAAACACTTTTGACCCATTTTCACAATAGATGTGTTCTCACGTTTGATAGGCACGTGGAGGAGTAAAAATACACCCTCAAACCAATGTAAAAATGTCACGTGGCACTATCAATTTGAGTTTTCTTCTTTATTAAAAGACCTACTTCCCATCTTCTTCAAAATCTCCATCGATAGATGTTGAGTGGCAATGTAGGACTCCCATCATAAGTATTTTGGTCTTCTATATATTGTTTGTTGCATAGTTATTAGTATTAACTAATATATATTCCAACCTCAATTGATCACTTACAAATATGGTTTGACATTTTTCCTGTGTAGTTAACACCTATGTTGCTTGGACTTTTTAAAAGTGTTGCTGCACCTGTGTCGGATCCTCCAAAAATGCACTATTTTTGAAGGATCCGACACACATACAGCGGCATGTTTGAATAGTCCATGCAACATAGGTAAGCACACAGCTAGAAAAAGTCTCCAAAGATCCATTGACTCAACAGACAAGTCTTGGAAAATGACAGCTAACCGATTGGTCAAATTGATATCTACTTCACAAAATCTTTTCTTCTGTTATAGAAAAAGACAGATAACCAACAATGGCTGTTTCATAAGGGTGTATATTATAAGGAGGCTTTGTTATAGTAGGAAACACAAAGTGTAGAGAAAAAACTATGAGAGGAGTACCTTTTCTTCTCTTTTCTTGGTTTCTTTTTGGCCCTTCTTTATTATTAGCAGAGAGGTCTACTTACATTGTCCATTTGGACAAGACTTTTATACCTAAAATCTTTGCTACTCACCAAAACTGGCATTCTTCCATTATTGATACCATCAAGATTGAAGCTCCCACTACACAAAATGGCTACCATCCAGTTCCAAAGCTTCTTTATTCTTATGACAATGTGCTTCATGGCTTCAGTGTTGTTTTGTCTAAAGATGAATTTGAAGCTCTCAAGAAGTCACCGGGCTTCCTTTCAGCTTATAAAGATAGGCCTGTTGAAGCTCACACAACACATTCCTCTAAGTTTCTTGACCTCAATCCTGCTTCTGGGCTATGGCTGGCTTCTGGTTTTGGTCAAGATGTGATCATTGGTGTACTCGACTCTGGTGTATGGCCAGAATCTGCCAGTTTCAGAGATGATGGACTATCTGAAATTCCCAAAAAGTGGAAAGGAATTTGCAAGCCAGGTACAAAGTTCAATTCTTCATTGTGCAACAGGAAGCTCATTGGGGCAAATTATTTCAATAAGGGGCTTTTGGCTAGTGATTCTACTGTGAAGATTTCAATGAATTCCGCCAGGGACACTGATGGACATGGCACTCATGTTGCTTCCATTGCTGCTGGTAGTTTTTCTAAAGGAGCTTCATATTTTGGATATGCTCCTGGAACAGCAAGAGGTATGGCGCCGCGAGCTAGGAGAGCTGTGTATAAGTTTAGCTTTGAAGAAGGGATCGTCACTTCTGATTTAATTGCTGCTATGGACCAAGCTGTTGCAGATGGTGTTGACATACTAACCATTTCTTATGGGTGGACTAACATTCCGTTGTATGAAGATTCTATTGCGATAGCTTCGTTTGGTGCCATGATGAAAGGTGTCTTAGTCTCTGCTTCAGCTGGGAATAGTGGCCCTGAAATGGGAACTTTAAATAATGGAGTCCCTTGGATATTTACTGTGGCAGCATGTGATTCTGACCGATCATTCTCTGGGACTTTAACTCTTGGGAATGGCTTAAAGATTACTGGATTTAGTTTGTTTCCAGTAAAAACCATCATCAAGGATTTGCGAGTGCTTTACAACGAAAGTATATCTCCTTGTGATTCATTTGACCCATCATCTCCAATCCCTAATGCTCGACGTAGCATCATAATTTGTTATAGCACTGCAATAGATGTAGAGGATCAAATGGCAGCTATCTCAGAGTCAAGTTTTGGTGGAGCCATCTATATTTCTGATTATCCAGATGTTCTGCGAGCCAATTTTTTCCCAAATCCTGGAGTTGTGATTAGCACCAAGGAAGGGAAACAAGTAATAGACTATGCATCCAAAAGTGTTAGACCTACAGCCAGCATCAGTTTCCAGGAAACACATATTGATGTTATGCCTGCTCCAGTTGTTTCTTCATTTTCCTCGAGAGGCCCTTCACGAAGCTATCTGCGAGTTGCAAAGCCAGATATTGTGGCACCAGGAGTGTTAATTTTAGCAGCCTGGCCATCGAACGTTTCAGCTGCAGTTATTGGTGTCAATACATTTTTGGATAGTGATTACCGTCTTCTTTCAGGCACTTCCATGGCTACTCCTCACATTGCAGGAATTGCGGCAATGCTTAAAGGAGGACATCCTGATTGGAGTCCTTCGGCTATTCGATCTGCCATGATGACCACTGCCAACCCTTTGGATAATACTGACAAACCCATCAAGACCACGGATTACTTCATTACAAGGGATGCTACATCATTAGACATGGGAGCTGGGTGCGTAGATCCAAACCGTGCAGTTGATCCAGGCCTGATATATGATGCAACTCCACAAGACTATGTGAATCTTCTCTGCTCCATGAATCTCACAGAAAAGCAATTCAAAACAATTGCTAGATCATCAGCTAAGCACAACTGCTCAAATCCGTTCGATGATATGAATTACCCATCATTTATTGCTCTCTTCAACCCAAATGAGGACTATACTTTGTTGGGGCAGAAATTCAGGAGGACAGTCACAAATGTTGGACCTGGTGCTGCTAATTACAAAGCAAAAGTGACAGCACCAAAAAACTAGACAATTTCTATCTCTCCACAAACCTTGGTGTTTGAGAAGAAAAATCAGAAGCAGGACTACACTCTGACCATACGTTACAAAGGCATTGCAGACGACCAAGCACAATCTGGTTCCATCATTTGGGTAGAAGAGAATGGGCATCACACCGTAAGAAGTCCTATAGTAGTTGCTCCAGCGCTCGATGCCTGGACCTGAAATGCTGCAGTCAACAAAACAGTTTCATTTTTTTTAGTTTGTAACACTTCCCAAGAGAGTTCTGTTTAAGTAGCTCGAAGCATGTATGTTTGAAGTAATTGTTGCATAATGTTTATTCTTGGTTATCAATTAAGCATGACTTTGTTGCTGTATAACATTTTTTTGTTACATGAACTAAAATAAGCAGATGTTTCCACATCTATTTCCTCTATGTAATTAGTTTCTCCCTTCGGAAAATCAGTTGACATTCAATAATGAGACTTACAATGTGTGCCCACCTCTTCTGAGTTTATATTCTAATACCCAGTATGACTAACCTGTTGGTACTAACGACAATGGCCAAGTCAGAATTTTCACTAAGAGATTTCAAAATATAAAGAAGTAAACGCGTGAAGAATCCAAGGGAGATTCAATATGTAGAGACTAAAATATAATTTTCCGACAAAGAGGTTATCAGATGAAGCCCCTTTGTGTCCCCTAATTAGGCCCCTGACTAACACGACATAAATATTTTTACACCATTAAGAAAAAAACTTATATTCAATAATTCCATCTTAACTTTGGGAAATCTAAAACAGGATAGAAAGATCCCTTCTGCAGTAAAAGCAAGCACTTTCCCATATCAAGTCAATAGTCAAAACAATAAAAGTACTAAAGAGTAAAGACACAGCTAGAAAATGACACAACAAAAGTTGCACTCATTATACAAAATACAAAGATCTTTTTGACTAGCTAGCTGCATACTGAATCATGCTTTGAACCAAAGGGGAAAAAGGGGCTAATATTTTTTGTTAATTTCTTAACATAATAGTAAAAAGGGACCGTGAGAATCGAATCAACACTTAATAGATACTTGTAGAATAGTTGATAATACATAAAGTCAAACCAAACTGACCGATGCACACCTCTAATCCTAAATCTAAACAAGCTTGAATGACCAATGCTAATCTAAATGAAGCAAAAACAACCTTTTTGTGCATCTTGAGTTGTGTCAATGGCTTCCAACATGAGCACCACTTCCTTCATCTCTGGCCTCTTTTTTGGATTTTCATTCCAACATTGTTTCATTATATTGGCCACAGCACTTGGGCAAGTGTTAGGTATTTCAGGCCTTAGACTCTTGTACACATTTGGACTTATTTCATGAGAAGGACAAATTTGTCCAATATATGGAATTGAACAACAATATATCTCCCACAAACAAATTCCAAAACTATAAACATCACATTTATGATCATATGGTAAACCAACAAGAACCTCAGGAGCCATGTAACCAATAGTCCCAGTTTGCGCAGTCATGTTAATAGGACATGAAGCCTCGATTCGAGATACTCCAAAGTCAATTATTTTTACTCTTCCTTCCTTATCCACAACTAAATTACTACTCTTTACATCTCTATGAACAATTTTCTTAGAGTGAAGGTAACTCAACCCTCTTGCAACATCTAATGCTAGTTGAATTACATAAATCAATGGCAACTTTTTTATATGATTTTTTAAGAGGTGTGATCTAAGAGTACCTCCAGGGACGTATTCAACCACGATACCATATTCAAGTATTGTTTGTTTTGCCAATGAAGGATGTCTTGTCCATTTTTTCATCCATCTTGTAGATTCAGGGGGCAATGTTTTCGAACCTCCGATTAACTTTGCAATGTTTGGGTGATGTAAATTGTACCATATTGAAACTTCTTGTGTGAAAGCCTTTGTTACTATATTCCTTCTTTTTTCATTGCTTAAATCAAGTATTTTAACTGCAACTTGTTTACCATCATAAACACCTTTATAAACTGATCCGTATGTTCCTTTAGCAATAATAGTGTTGACTTTAAGTTTTGTAGGATCCAATTCCCATTCTTGTTTCTTCGTCATGATCAGTTCCAATTTATTCGTCTCTTCAGTACAACCATTATTATTGCTAAATACTCTATCTAAATGCCTCTCAAGTTGTTCATCCATTCTTCTTAAATCTATCTTTGCTATAATTCTTGATTTCGCCATTAAAGACAAAAAAGAAAACGCTTTGTTTAATTTGGAGTTACGTTCCTTCTGAAATGGCACTATATTTATAGGTATCGAAATCAAATTTGAAAAGGATTGGGAAAGGGGTAATTCAGATTTCTCTTAGACTAGAGTTTTCAAGTTTCTAAAATTAAAAAAAAAAAAATCTTATTTTTTCTATTTTAATTCATTTGTCTTATTTTCTTTTTTACTCCCTTTCAAAAAGAATTTATTTTCTCTTCTTTTTTTTGGCAACTTTTAATTCCAACTTTATGTTGGATATTTGTTCTGCATTTCTTTATCATAAATGAATTTTCCTTTTCCTAAAAGGAAAACACAAAAGTCTTTACATTTCGCTAGTTCTTTTTTTGTAGGAAAATGTTTATGACTCTATAAATAGAGACACAAAAATATTCATATTTGGCTTAGAGAGTTCTGTTTAGGGAGAATGTGTTACGTTAACACTTATGTGCACCTCTTTATATTTCGAGTGAATTGTGTGAGGTTATTCCTCTCTATATTTTGCACTCTCTTTATATAGTAAATATTACTCATCTTCTCTTGTGGATGTAGATCGATTAATCAAATCACGTTAAATGTTTGTGTCTTTTGATATATGTCTCGTTTGTCTTCTTACTCATGATCTTTCGAGGTTTTGCTTTGCTAGATTACACATGATACTGATTAATTTCGATCCTAACACTTTGTACTTGACATATTTAAGACAAAGAACATTTTGTAGAAAAGACTGGTTATTAGATTAGTACATGAGTGGAATAATTAGGAGCAGATGTGAAGTTAGTGGTTAACTGTTAAAAATGCACTTTTAATGAAGTCTACAAGTAGTATATCTGTTTGGACTAATTGCAAACAGCATTCTTTAAGTTTTGCTTTTATGAGCCAGCTGACAATTTGTACTATATATTGCCTCCCTAGTCTAGAGTTATTAAAGTTAAATGAAACAAGGAGCAATATAGGGTTTTTGAGATCTTATATTTGTATTGATTGAAAAATTTATTAAAATATCTATTATCAATAATAAAACAGTCATTTAATCCAATGTAGGTACTCACTTAATTACTTTAGCTAGCCTTATGTTTGAGGGTTTGATTCACATAACTCTTTTCACAAAGATTATTGACACATTATACATTTTGACCCAATATGACTCCATCACTTTTCGTGAAGACTTTATGCAAGGAGGGGTGGGGTTTTGATAAGTCAAAAAATAGTTCTTGATATAAAAATCTTCGAAGGCATTGATTTTCTTTTCGTTTTTTTCCCACTCCCGTGCATTCCTTGTTCGGTAAAACTCATTAGGGAGAAGCCCTAGCAAGATCTTTTTCATTCTCAAGCTGAAATCCGAGATATCTGGTTAAGTTTGGTAAGAGTCTAGGCTAATTGACATAGTCACTTCCTAATAATTGAGAAGAAAGAGAATATAATTGTCACACTTTGTCCATACTTGCCAACACTAGAGAAAATATGGACAAAATCATGTTGGTATTTGATTCTAAAATCTAAGTTAAAGGATTGCAGATGATAGTACTTTCACTACCCTGTAAAGCAATAAAACAAAATTTCACCTCTAGGACACTCTCATCATTTCAAGTCCCTTCAAATTAATGCTCATGCCATTAACACATTTGTAGCTATATTTAAGCTCCTTCTGTTAGCTGCAGCAACAAATTTAACAACTGGTTATCACTATCTGAAGTTACTAAGTTAAATCATGTCAAAGAACACAAAATTTAGCAATGCTGGAAATGGGTTAATCTTACATTGTTGGGGAATGGACTGGGCAATCGTGCTAGCTTTTGGAGTTGAGTTACAACAGAGCATAAAGGAGGTTGTTGGAGTGGGTCAAAGTCACTCATTAGTTGGAGAATGAATTGATGGTCAGCTTATATAGACTTGAGCAACCCTCCCTCACATGAGCTGGCTTAATTTTGTGGTTGAGTTAGGTCAAGGTGTCATATCTTTACAGGCAAGATAGATAATAAATTGCATAATCAGTGTTAATGACAACTCTATGTGCTTTAGCAGGGAAAATAGGTCAATGTATCAGCAGTTCTTGCTAATTTCAAGAACCAAGTTTGAGCAAGGAACCCTCCTTTGGAAGATTTAATACATGAAAGAAGGAAGACATTTGAAAATGAAACCAAATGTTCTCTCATAAAAATAGTCGTAAATCACAACTGTCAAGGCACCAGCAATACGTAGAGTACATAGAAGAAAATTGCCAATAAGCAGCTTGCAATCACGTAGTTGCTGTTAAGATTCGTGGCCTAGTTGAACTTTGCAAAGCAAAAAATTGTCTAAAACTCAGTATTCATCTCCTAACTAATAAAACTAAACCCATTGTAATCGGATGTGTACTGGTATGGTCCTGATCAACCTAAGAAAAGATATTGATCGTTGTAATAGGTTTAGCAGCCGACTGTTCAGCTCTTGAAATAATGATGTGAAAGATTCATGTTGGTGAGGAATGGTGAATGGGGGAAAGGTAGTGCTCCACTTCCAAAGTGCAGCTGATGAGTGGCAGCTGAGGGTGCAGTGTTTGCTGAATTTCCGAATCCTGATGATGCTGCAGTAGAGAAGAGTGGCAATGTAGGACTCCCATCATAAGTATTTTGGTCATGCCCCATCCATTTCAAAGAGGTGTCGACTTCCAAGCCCTTCTCTATTGCTGAACCCTGGAGGAAACATCATAGGATGTTTATTCGGTACAATGTACTGACTAAATTCATAAGACAAGGCATATAAATTGAACTACTAGATAGTAATTTGAAAATCACCATGCAGGAAAAGAGAGAAATAAGCAACATGTACATGAATTTAGGTAATGAATGTTGCATTAAGTGCACCATTCTTATGAGAAGAAGAACTGAAAATAATTCAAGCAACGTTAACAAGAATACCTTAAATGTTGGAAAGAGACTGTCATTTGATCCGTTCCAATGGAGGGGATGCTGAGTTAGCATATGCTGACCATGAAGTAGCAGTTTACTTCTCAGTGTTGTAGAAGCAGGGGTCTGTAAGAGAGTCAAGACCAAGTAGACTGCTTAGAGATACATGGTGAATACAAATCTACCTTTGTTACAGATCATGGAATACCGTGATTGGAGATAGATCATGAAAGTCTCAAATTACCTGGACTTCTCCATGATGTTCAGGTAAACCGTTTGAACCATGCCGGCACTGGAAGTTTCCAATTTGGCTAGTGTTTCCATGTTGATTCTCAGCATAGGAAGAGAGAGATATGCCCAAATTTAGATCAAGATTATGATCTCTGCCTGCATCACATGTAAAGATTGGTAGTTTTCAACCAGCTAAGTGGAGCTGAAGAAAAAAGAGACAAACATAAAGGCGGTGTCCAGAAAAGTGTGCAAGTCTTGCTAGTACCTCCAATGTCAGCCTCCGAAGTCAATGCCCCTTCGTATGTGTTTGGCTCAAAGTTGGTGACTGCCTCCCTCCCATTGCATTTTATAGCAGCCTTATCATATGCCCTGATCACCCCAAAGACCAAGTTCAGTCAATGTTGAGAGGTTAAACCACATAATATAAAAAGTGATGAAGAGTCGGGCCATGATCATTGGACCTTGCAGCATCTATCTCATTGTCAAATAGTCCAAGATAGATATATCTGCAGGAACATAGTGTACAGTAACAAGTTAGCAATACTCCCTCTAACTTATAAAGATCAGTGCTATCATGTGATTAGATAGTGAAGAACTTGAAACAGACATATAAACAATGGTGTGACATTTCTAAGCCACATTGTAACAAGTGGTCACTCACTTCTTTCCAAGAAGCTGCCCCATCCGTGCTTCCCATCGCCCACATTTATGTAGAGTGACTCCTCTGTATTTTGAACTTCCTCTAGAGAAGCCATTGCTCTGACGACGAAGTATGTGCACAAACTCTTCTTTGCTAAAGTTCTTCATCTACATGCCAGTCAGAGACAATTAGATTAATCGGCAATCTTACTCTAAATTGAAAAGGGACTTCAACCAACCTGCTTCAGATCTTCTTCATAATCACTGATGTTAAAATTGATATCTGCATCAAGTCCTCGGAATTTAATTGCAGCACGGTCATACACCCTGATATTAGTAAAATAAAAACTCAGACCTACAACTATCCAAGTTCTTTCTTTTAAGAAGTACAAAAATCAAGGTATGGAGCTAAGATAAAACGCATTCAAAATTATACAGTACCTAGCAGCAGCATGTGCAGTGTCAAAACCCCCTGTGAATACAAGTTCCAAATGACAAATGAAGCTTGCAGTCAGCAAATCAATTCATGAATAAAGCTGGAAATGAATATACTTCGTATCGACAAAACATGAGATTACAAACACGATTGCTTACCCAAGTAAACTTGTTTCCCACAATCCCTGCAAAGCCCATAAAGAAACTATTCAAATTCACATTAACACATTTATTATCTGTTGCTATCAAACTTGAAAGTGGAAGCAGCTTATTAGTAATTGTTAGATAGTTGGAACTAACAACTCCAAGCAACCCCGGGTAAGCATAAGTTCAGTATCTAAGTGAATTGCTAGATAGTTGGAACTAACAACTCCAAGCACCCCCACGTAAGCATAAGTTCATTATGTTAGTGTACGATGAACGACCACTAATTTTGTCCAGACTTAAGCACGGATAGTGAAGAGTATCGCAATGGGGCTGACGCCTAACATACCAAAGGAAAACCAGTTCTATTATGTCCTAAGCACGGATAACTGAGGAGGGTTGCAGCATGTTGACAGCCAGAAAGTCAAACTGCCGTAAACTTATGTACACCACCACAATATTTTAATTTTTTTTACCCCTCCCTAGAGGCTCCCGCCCTTTTTGCTCCCCTTGGTGAGTCGAACCCAGGTGGAGGATACTTACCATTCGAGCCATCACTAGTCTATATACCCCAACACAACAATTTTGAGATTATGTTTAGTCCATTGATTTTCTAATATCACAATCGCAGAAATCTCAAGAAATTGAACGTCGCTATTACTACGCTTGAGAGGAAACAACAAAAAAAAATTGCTCGAGAATGAAAACACAAGTGATGATCACTAACCAGATATGGGATTCCCATCTTCCAGTCCTTCGATAGAATGTAACTCCACGATACTGAGAACTCCGAGACCTAGGTCCTCTTCTACTCTTCTTCGCCTGTAATCTCTGTTGCGGAGTTTTACCGATCCTCTGCTCATTCAAATCACCGCAATTCACCGGAAGATCCAACCCCACCTCTCCATTCACCAATGGAAACAACTCCTTTATTACAAACCCACCACGATCCCCACTTCCTTCGTATTCATTATTAGCTTCCTTATCAGCTTTCAGTATAGCAAATGTAAAACCATCGCGGTGACGATGATCAGAACTAAAATACTCATCATCACCAGCAGTACTCGAAGTCTCCATGTTAACAATAGAGGAATTAGAAGTTCCTGAGTTTTCCATTTGATTAAATAACAATTCATTAACCTTTTCCGACGCTACTTCACCTAGAACAGAGATGGGTTCTACTGGAACATCATCAGAACTAAGATTAAGATCAAACATCTCGAAAACTACACTACAGTATGTCCAAAAGGGTATCACAAAAAAGTATAGAAAGATCAAATGGTTCACTCCTGAATTACAGAATGAGAATTGAAGAAAAGAAAGAAAATAACGAAAGAATTGGGAATTTTTGAGTTGGGTTTCAGGGATATAGAAAAGTGACAAATGAGAGTTGCATTGGTTTATGAGGGAAGCCGGCAATGGAGATTACAGAGGCAGTGGGGAAGAAGGAAACAAGGAATTTTGTCTGTCTCTAATGGAGAAAATTTTTTGGAAATTTGTTGGGTGTCTGAGGAGTGAAGAAGCAGTAGTATATAGGGCGACTTCCGAAAGCAGGGGGCGTTTGATGCTCTTCTTCAAAAATATTTTCTTACTCCCACCATATAGAGCGTGTGATTCACATTCGAATGAGTGTGTTCGGTACGGAGAAAAATATTTTTTTCGTTTACTTACCTAACACGAGAAAATAAGTAAGAAATCCACTTGTTTTTCGAGAAAACATTTTCTAAGATATCAGTTTAGGTAGAAAATATTTTCCTTCATACCATTATCTCTACAGAACATTAATTGTAGCTAATAAATGTAGAGACGAATTAAGAATTTTAATTTTATGAGTTTGTGATTCGTATTACAACAATAGAACCTCCGTCGTTCTTCTCTATGGAATTGTACGTGGGCGTTATTGCTCATACAAGAGTTCAACTCTTTCTCTGATCTCCCGAGGAAAGTTAGGGGATTAATTAACACAGACAGATGGGAGCTCCCTTCCTTCAGAATGCAAAATGTTAAACCTTCTAATTTTACTTACGAACCCCCCTGAATCCTCTTTGTCAAGGAGTCAAGTTAGTAGAGTAATAGCTAACTTAGACTCCCCCCTTTTTTAGTGTTAACTTGTAGAGTTTATCTAACTCTAGTTCTACCTCAAGATCTTGTACTAAGTTTGGTATACCAAACTTTAAAATGTAACTCTTTCATATCAATGATCATTAAAATTCAGCTAACAAGCAATTGTAGCCTTCCTCTGTAGGGAATAAAAGTGTGGATTAATCGACATCCAATATAAGAAAAAGGGTAGTTATATAACTCTTATTTTGTGATTTAGAAGTTAAAAAAGTTATGGATAAATGCTCTTGTTATTTAACAAATGATGTATGTATACCCTTGTTGTCCACTAAATAATGCATATTTGTTATTTTTGTTAACAGTGTACAATTATGTATATGTACAAATAATAACAAGAAAAATATACAAATTACCAATTCCCATAAGAACTTTTATTACTTAAATATACAAACCGGATACGATTGGTCCTTAACCCTAAAATCGATCGAAAAAGTAATTGAATCATCGATGATAAGAGACCAATTAGGTGCACTCATCATCTGTGACGCATGAGTAATAAGCCCTAATGACAGAATTCTCTTTCGAAAGAATTTATGGACAAGAACAACAACAATAATGACAAGGGCAGAAACAACGGCGGTACAATCATGTAATATTTTTAAAGATAACTATATTAAAGTGTATTTATATATTTGTATTTGTGTTATGGTAAGAAGTGTTTTCCACACAAAACCTACTTATCAATGAGAAGGACATACGATATTATCCATTGAGGATTATCATTGAAATTCATAAATATTTGCTAAAAGCCAAAAAGTCCACGATTGCACACATATATAAAAGAAGGTAAATCAATATGTCAATTTATTGAAAAATAGAAGGCATTAACAACAAGACATTTCCTGATTTGGGAAGTTTCACTTAAGAATATAAAATTTCTTTTCCTAACTGATTTTAGTCGTATAGATTAAGAAATTATATAAGGAATTTATATAATATTTTTTATTGTACCAAAAAAGAATTAACCAAATTGAGAAGTAGCCCAATTATGTTATCAAATCACTCCTAATATGTAATCAACGATTGATATAAAAAAGAAGGAACTATGTTTCTCTTATTAGGATTATTATTGTTACTTATTATTATGCAATGTTAGTGAAAAACTTACAAGATAGCAAAAATACAAGATTACAACTGAAAATGAAATGAAGAAATAAAAATCTCTTCAGGCTGAGGCGCGGATATCTCGCTCTCTTTAAGGAGATTCAAGCCCACTGCAGCAAATATTTTTCACCGGTCCAGCAATAGTCCTCTTTGATTTGTCCCCTCCAGGATACAACAGTCTTCACAAAGTATAACTCAACAACTCTGGACAAGAGTTGAGTCCAAAGCTCCACAAAAAAAAACACCTCCCTTCAACTAATAAGAACTCCCTTTTTGACCAACTCTTTCACTCTATATTTTTTCTTGTGTGTTGTGTGTACCAAACCAAATGAAGAATACCACTATTTATACTAGAAGAAGTCTTCCTAGGAATAAATAGGAAGATAATGAAGTGGTAAATAGTGAAGATAACTGGTCTTAGAGTTACATGTGTTACATAGGTTACAAAGAACAATGGAGGAATAAAGAATGAGATAATGAGAGAGGTAACTAATGTCATCAATGGCTGATGAACATGCTGCCAAGGTTCCAACGTTCACTGGAACGTTTCTGCCAACATTATATGACCACAAAGTCAATGGCCAAATGCAGGAGTAATTAGGCAACATTAAGACACCAAAATAATGAGCAACTTTAATATAAAAAATAATATTAAAATGCTCAATAACCAACATGCAAGAAAGCCTATTAATTACATCACTCATGCATTACAAGATTTATGAGCTATATGGGAGCGAATTCACCGAATTAATCGAGTTTCAATACAGATATTAAATATTGATGAAAAACTAAAAAAAAGATTTGTGACAATATTAATTAGTATTTCTGAGTTTTAAAAAAGTTCCCAAACAAATATAGATGCTTGATATGTACATATTTGTGCATATACTTTTATCACTTAACTCTGATATGTTGAATCGATGTAGTATAAACATCCTATATGTACAGATATATGTAAACGGTAGGTAACATAAATCTCACTAGATGATAGTAATATATTTACTACCACCTAGAATTATTTATCTCACTGTTAGATTAATTTAGGTCTAATTTTAATTACATAAAAATGTGGAGATATCAATGTCATTCTTAATTAGTTTCTTGATTAATAAGTGGTAGTTGCACTCCAATTTATAAAGTTATTCCTATGAACTGAATTCTGATCTAGCTACTTTATGTGCAAACAAATCAATCAACTTCCAACAGTTATGTGCATTGTTCATATATAGTAATGTTGTTGTAGATGATTGGTGGGGGAGGGGGGGGGGGGGGGCGGCGGGGACGGGGTTAAATATATTGTTGAAGTGACTAGTGATACTGAAAAAATAAATAGGAAGAAATGACCAAAGTACTGATTTTACGACGACAATAACAATAACATATTCAATGTAATTTAACATGTAGAATCTGGAAATTTTTTATCACGGTAGAGGCTCAACCAACAAAAGGTGAGTGAGGCTCCATTAACTTTTTGACACATGTATAAGTGTGCCATATATCTAACAAAAGGTGGGTGAGGCTCAATGAACTTTTTGACACATGGATAAGTGGCCATATATCTACTTTAAAGCTATAATGCTACCACTAACAGAGAGAGAAAATATATTTACATAATAAATTGAGTTGAACATACATAAAAAATGCAAGAGAAATTAAAATGTGGGTTTACTTCTTTATTTTAATATTTTGAGATTATATTGAATATGTTACGTAGTTATATGTTGGTTTGACAAATTTATTTTGATATGATATTTTTCTACGTAATATAATTTGTATTTTTGTTTCCATCACAATTACTTTTCTACTTTTAATTTTTTTTGATAAAATAGTACTTAAAATTTTGTGGAATACGTTTAATTTATTTTATTTTTTAAAAATATTTTTTTTATCTTTTAAATAATGATTTATTTAAGTTAAAGATGACTAGATTTAGAGAGAAAATCAAGATTTGAAAAATTAATCTTTATTTCTTTTCAACATTGGTGTAACTTTTTTTGTAACATCAACAAAAATGTTTTTTAAAAAATAAAAAATTACAGATTCAGTTTGAACGTCAAAATATGTGTTTTTGATTTACCATCCTTTGATTTTATAAAAATATTAGGAAAGAAAATTCAAAATTTAATTTTTCAACAAGTATAAAATGTGGATCCACAATCATTTTTCATTTTATTATTATATATTTAGTGAAATGTATTATTTCTGATGGGATTGAGATTAATTATAAAATTTATTTTACTTTTTGTTATTTTTGTTCTAGGTTTATAAAATTTCTTCAAACTAACATAAACTACAATAATAATAGGGAAAAGTGTCAAATATTCCCCTAAACTATTCGAAAAGGACTAAATATACCCCCGTTTAAAGTTTGGCTCACTCGTGCCCTCGCTGTCCAACTTTTCATCTAAATATACCCTTATGGGCGTTAAATGTCAAATGGAATTGACACGTCATTTTTACATTACCATGTGACATTTATATTAAAGGGAAAAGGGTTAAATATACCCCTAAACTATTTGAAAAGGTCTAGATATACCCCCTTTTAAATAAACTACCCGACCCATTTTCAACAAAAAAAATTCGATAAATCCAAAAAATGAGTAATTGATTAATAAAAAATAGAAAAAATAAGAAAAAAAATATAAAATTAACGCCAAAAATTCACAAATAAATATAGTAACCTTAATTTCAACAATTTTTTAAATTTTTTTTTTTTTTTTTTATAAATCCCGAAAATGAGTAATTGATTAATAAAAAATATGAAAAATATAACCTAAAAATTCAGCATAAAGTCATTTTCATATTTTTTTTATTAATCAATTACTCATTTTCGTGATTTATCAAAAAAATAAATAAAAAAAAATTGTTGAATTTAAGGTTACTATATTTATTTGCGAATTTTTGGAGTTGATTTTATATTGTTTTTTTCATATTTTTCCTATTTTTTATTAGGCAATTACTCATTTTCGGGATTTACCCAAAAAAATTTGTTGAAA